CACTTGGGGTGGGCATGGGATGAAGAGGTTGCTCCTCTTCCAATGTGGTTGTATAGAAGAGTCTTTCTCAGTCTTAGCTAGTGTATGTAGACTATGTGGACTTCAGCTCCCAGAATTCCCAATCAGCATGGTGGCTAGAAGAAGTCAAGGAGCAGGAAAAACTAAGCAAAGCAGGATGGTCCAGGATAGAACTTCTCAAACTTTTTCAGACTGTGGTACCTTCTTGTTCAAGTCCATTTGTGCTTGATGAACTTGTTTTGTTTTGTGAATGAAAGCAAATATACGTGTCCCAGTATAATGTTGCAGGTTCAAATTTGAGTCAGTCACCAGGACCAAAGCTTTATTCTTCCAAGCTTTCGGACCTGTGCTGGAGCCCATTCTCAGGGAACTTCTCTCTCTCCAGGATAGTTCTGTTTTTCTCCTTAGCCTCACACAGAACTCCATCAAGCTTTATGCAACCCTAAGGTTCAAAGGAACACAGTTTGGGAAATCATGATGTCGGAATTGGTAGCTGGGACCCCCCTCAAGACCTGAGTTTGTACCTCTATTGCATTTATAGATTGAAATACTTTGCCGATATACTCTTTATGGAGTTAGGTGCCTTTGCATATCTGAAATATAAATATGTATTTCCGACAATGTAATTTGTAAAACAGGCCTAATTACGCTATTTGGGAACTCTGTTTTTGAAGCGTTATGTCTAGTTGTTCTGTGGAATTTAGACACATGAGTGTGTTTTTGGCACAAATAGTGTGCATTTGTGTTGGGAATGTCCTTCTCATTTATTTCTCTGTATGGAAAAAGCCAAGCAATTGGTCGACTTAATGTATCTTTCTGAATATCCCAATTAAGATCATTTTTTGTATGGTACATTAGGATGATCAGGAAGAAGCTGACGGTGAAAGAGAAGCCTTCTTGCCGTACTCTTCCCTTCTCCCGTCCCTGTTTCTCTCCAACACAATGTTCAATGGGTGGGCTTAATCTGGTTTTCTTTAGAATGTGCCACCCATGGTGCTATGAGGGAGATCAAATATCCTTAACTTTGTGGTTCATGGGCTGCCGTTTTCATTCAAGGAGGAAAAAAAAAATCTCATCAAACCATGGTAAGTGACTAGGCTTTGATTGCATTTGGATGGGCTTTCTCACTCCAGTTCTCTCATCTTCTTTTGTCTATTCCGCCAATTTTTTTTTTCCCTACTACCATCCTGACAAAAGAAGTTATGGAAAACAGCTGCTGCAGTTTTCTTGTGAGAAAAGCAAATTTGCCTATAGGCTGTGTCATTAATTCAACCTGAGCGTGATTGGAGGCAGGTTAGAGCTTCGCAGTGGGAGCCATGCTATTAAACATATGCTTCTTGGTGGGTCAAGGCCACCCAGGGGCTTCAAGAGACCCAAACAAAGCCAACTTGGAAGCAACTCCTGCAAAAGGACATTATACAGTATATCAGTTGAACCCACAATGCCAAATATCTGGCATTATTCCTGAGACCTTCTATACCAAGACGAATCTCAAAATGGTTTAGAACTTTATATCCACCCTCTGCTGCCCAGGCCTGTCCATATATTGCTTACAAAGCCCTCTTCATTATGAGGAGGCTTCGTTTGATTTTGCTTGTGCACTGGACATAAGATTATTAAATTTCTTTTTTCCAGAAGTGTCAGGTATTTCCCATCTTTAAAACAGAAAATACTGCTGAAAATAATCTGTTCTGAAAATGATAGTTTTTAAATACATGGCTAGTGTTTTCATATATAACAATAACTAGACAGCCCCTTGTTTTATTATTTCAGAGATATTTCCTTACCAGGTTTGAAAAGTTCTGAAAAATTCAGGGATATATTCAGAGATGTATCTGCCTCCAAAAGAGCCCATGATGAACTGTATAGCATAGTTGAGCACAGGAAATGTTTTGTGACATTTTGTATCATGTCCTCAAATGCTTTTAGCATAATTTTTGTCATATAATGTTTTATAAAATTCACCAAATTTCACTTCTATGGGTATCAAGAATCTCAGATTTTGGACATGTTTTATAAGCTAACCCATTTTGAGGTACCTTGAAATGTTTTGCCCTATTATACACCATTTTGCTTAGTTATAGATTACAAACACAAGAGTTTTAATAATACTGTGGTGCTCAACTGCTTTTAAACTCCTCAAATTTGGTAGTCAATGCATTTTTCTGCAAAAAAAAATATTCGGTACTTACCGTTTGTTTGGTACTCGACACACAAGCTAGAATTTGTCAGTGTCGGCTGCCTTGTGATTCAATTCATTATTCCTTATGGGAAAATTTTGTTTGGTACTTATCGTGCCTTCCAGAACCAATTAATGATGAGTATCAAGATATCCATCTATGTAGATTTAGTTCAGTATCATTCATTGAATGATTTCCAGCTGTTTGGGATATTTCTAACTGAGGCTACACCTCTTTAAATATCTTTTGAAAAGCTTATGGAACTGATCACAAAATACCCTAAAATACACAGAGATGCAATATTCATACAAATTTAGTATGAAAAACGCATACAGTGCAAAGAGATTATGCCATGAATTGCATCATCTACTCAGCCTTTAGTCTTTCTTTGCAATGAAGATGAATAAAGATTATTATGTTTTGTTAGCTCTTTTTTTTTTTTAGGCAAATATAAAAACACCCCTTTGCATTTTATCTCTTTATTTGTTGCCTGAACCATCTGGTTTGTCCCTATTCTGTCTTAAGTTCAGATTAATTAAAGAGTTATTTACATAGGTCTGAATTGCAATTACATAGTATAACATGGGTGACAGAGAATGCAGATAACCGGTAAATTATAAAACCAACAATTCAGGTTCAGTTTAGAAATGATGTTTAGCTTTCTTTTTTCTTTTTTTTTTCAAAAAAATGAAAAACAGCTTCTTGAAGCAGAAGAATTGCAGGGGGAAAAAAGAGAGAAAGGGGCTGCTTAAATTTTCCTTCTTTGGGTTGCTCACACTCTCTCCCAGATATATTGTACTTACATCCAGCAGCTGCTATTCTGTACTATGTCATCTCTGCTGGAGTATCTTCAGGGCTCACCAACTGTGGGGCACCAGAAAAGTTATTTGGTGGCCCTGTGCTCTTAGGGAGGGAGACTTTCTTGTTCTTGGCAATTTTACAGAAGTAGTTCATCATTGCCTTCTAAAATGTTTTTCAACTGGACAGGGAGCGATTTAACATTTTGGTTGATCGGAGTCCTACAAAGCAATAGAGCCAAAGATTAGCCAAAATTCAGGACATACGGGGGATTTCTTTGGTTTTCATTCTGATATCCCTGTTTTATAGATCCACTCAAATTTTCTTCAGTTTCCCACCTCAAAGTTGCAAGACTTTGCAGTCAGTTTTAACAATAATAGTTTTTTTAAAAAAGGATCGTGAAGATATGTATTGTGATAATGTTTAGAGATGGCTCTCTTTAAGCACATATCCCGCAGGGCAAAAATGCAAACATAATGTTTGTTAGGGACTTTATCTGTGAAAAAAAGTTTTACAAAAACTTTACCTGGTCATCCAGGAAATAACCAAAAAGGTGGTTAGAAGCTTACTATGGGTCCCTCCACAGAGCAACAGGTTAGGCAGTAATTCATTGCTCTGACTGGCAGGGTCAAGTCCTTTGGGCACGTGTTTTTTTCCTGAAACTTGCATTCTATGATTTGAGGACAGGACATCAAAGCAGAGCCCTGAAAAAGCCCTAAGGAATTCAGTAACTGTAAGATAGTTAAAATACAAGATCACTTTGGAACAGATCTTGCCCTGACCCAATTGTATTCCAGTTTATACAACTGAGTTTTAAGGGACCTTCATCTAAGAGCTGTCATATCCTGTTCTTGTCCCAGTGGTAGCAACGCCTCTGTGGCAAAACCCAGATTCTGAATTTCAGTTTTACTCTAAGATAAATTGGAATATTTTGACAGGATAAGAGTTGTCAAGCTTTGGGGTTATAATTTCAGATATATTGTCATTAGCATTGATTGGACAATCAGTAGATTCCTCCAAATATATTCCTTTTACAACATCAAGAGCACCATGGTAAAATCAATGGAATATGTCCTTTAATAGTTTCAGAAACTCTTAAATTTTAATACTTACATGATGAGAACATTTGAAAGAATAGAACAGAACAGAATAGAATAGAATTCTTTATTGGCCAAGTATGATTGGACACATAAGGAATTTGACTTTGGTGATGAAGATTTCATAACCAGCCCTTTATAATATTTCTTATTATCTCATATTGGGGCACTAATGAAGACAACTTTCCAGGGAAAATGCAGAATAGAGGCCCGACGCCAATTACATGACTACTTTTTGAACGAAATATAGTAGAGTCGTGAGGCCAGACTCTAAACTTAGCATACTGACCACTTTGACAGGCAGTGGGAGGAATAAAAAAAAACAGCAATACATTTTGCTGCAATCTTCACATTTTTCAAGTTGGTAATGATGCAAGATGTCTCATCTGTGCAATGGCTTGTAAATATCAAGGTTGATTTGAGATAAAATGATAAAATGTGCACATTTTAAATAATAGCAGACTATAGATGACCTCCCTAGTTTGGTATTGGTAAATATTGCTTGTTATTTAATGAAACTGCAAAGCTTGTAATTTAAATTTAGGATGACTTTGGGCCAGTCATTCTCTCTCAGCAAAACGCATTTCATAGGGTTGTTGTTGTGGGAAAAATAAGAGGAGCAATGTGTGGTGAGTATGTTCTCCACCTTGAGTTGTTTGTAAAAATAACAAAAGTGCACTATAAATAAATAAACAATACTGGTACTGTATCTTTGCCATCTTGAGTTATATATGAAAAAAACAGGATGAAAAAATCTTTTTTTAAATGTCATTCTGAATACAATTATTCACATAGTTTTAACCTTTGTCTGCTGTTTTTTGCCTCTGGGGTCTTACCCAGAACTGCTGAGTAATAATTTTCTTGGCATCCAGTTTTTAAGATTTAACATATTTGTCTGTCATTATAGGATTCTTCTTCAACCGGATGACTCCTTGCAAATCCTAGAACCAGTCGAAGCCGATGTAGGTTTCTATACTTGCAATGCAACCAATGTGTTGGGCTCTGATTCTGTCTCCATTGCCATCACATTAGCAGGTAACACATTCACAGCACTTTACACAACTCAGAAATCGTCCTGTTCTAGCAGTTTTAAGCACAAGCATATAGGGAGATAACTTCCAAGGTTAAAAATCCTTACTGATGTTGGAATCTTTTCAACTTTATTGAACTTTTAATTTTGTTTACTGATATTTTCCCCAAATTTGATGTCTCGCTCTAAAAATTTCATGAGACATTAAATGCTAGCTTGGTACATTTAACTCTTTCATGTTCTAGGATGAATTTGTAGAGAGGGCAATTTAAATAGCATTGGTGAAGCTTAACGTTTTGTAGAATTTATTTTGGGTCTGGCCTATGAGAAGTATATGCCCAAATTTCAAGGATGGAAGAATGTGAACTGATCTTTTCCTTTATGTTAAGATCAAGAGCATTGCCAAGAACTAGGTTTGGCATTATTTCAAGATTCTAAAACATACTCCTGTTTTAGAATTTCCAGAAGAAGTCTTGAAGTCAGGTGCCAGATTCAGGAAATATTCTGATTTATGCTTTAGTGTACATATACTCACCTCTGTCCCTTAAACCATTATGATTGGTCCACAATTTGGTAGCCAGTGTCTCCTATCAGACCCCTCCACCTTTACAATTCCACTAGGCCCTGACACTGAGACTTGGAAGCTAAGCAAGGAGGCTGATAATATGGGAATATTAACATCTTGCTATTCCCATAAAAGAAAACAAGAGGCTGGTGATATGGGAATATTAACATTTTGATATACAAACAGGGATTTTAAATTGCTTAATTCTGAAATGTCTTCTTTTTAATAGGCACTGGTGTTTATATTTTAATATTATTGCCGAGATGACTATTTAAGACAGTAATATTAAAACATGTGCCCTGTTTTTCGTTCCATTTTCCCACTTCTATCATCTCTGTATATTTCAGCAGAAAGAGCCATTGATTTTGGTTCAAATGTAAAGATTCAATCATTCAGTGGCTGCTGAAATATACTGATTTCTTGACCAAAATAATGATTGCACGGTAATGGATTTACCTTTATTAAAATTTAGGCCGAAAGTCTAAAAAATCCCTCTCTCTGCTATGTTTTGTTTGTATGGGTATTTCTCCTTTTAGTAGAAGGATAAGGATTTAATTTGTTAAATCCATCAAAGTGCGATGTTTTGACCTCTTTTTTTATGCTTGGTGGTGGCTCCAATTTTTTCTATAAATCTTTCTCTCTTAGACTGAATTGTAAAAGAACCAGACATCTCATTAGCGCTGAAGCCAAATTAATAGTAATCTCCCGAGAGTCAGTGAGATTCCTCATATTCCTGAAGTTAAGCATTGCTCTAAATAATTGGTTGGATTGCATGTTATCTGCTCAGTCAACATCTTGTAAGGTCAAGCTCTTTCTTTCCCCGTCTTGCAGCCAAGGCATGGCTGGCACACTTCCCGTCACTGGCAAGCAAAAGCTCAGAACGGATTAAGTTTCTTGTTTACACCAACAGTTCAGATCTATGACAAATTAAATCTTTGTTCACTTGGATCAACACGAATGAAAACGTTTCTGGGAAGAGCAGCGATGAGCAGTGTGAGATTGTGCTTGCTTTAAACTCTTTAGGTGCTTGGCCAGCAAGAAGCTTTTTAGTAACATGCATAAGTTACAGAATGAGAAAATGAAAAAAACAAAAACAAAAAACTGGCTACATTGTTCCAAAAGTTCATCCATTCCAGATTGTTTTGTCCAAAACGAAATTTGGTTTTGTAGTGGTTCTCATGCTTTACACACAGGAAATGTCAGGTCAGAATCTGGATTCCCTCTTGTTGAAAAGTGCTACCTAATAACCTGGAGAACTGCTAGCTGTTGCAAATCAGCATCAACAGGTTTTTGGCTACGTATCAATAGGTTTGCTCTGTATAATGTGGCCTTAATTATTTGGATGAACAGTTGCAATAAAGGGCCTCTAGAATTCCACAAGTAGCCAGAAGAAAAACAGCTCCCGGTACTACCCCTCGTACTTAAACAAAGTGTACATATATGAGGTGCCTGCTTTCCTAGTTCTTTTAACCTGAGAGAATGAAACTATCTTTTAGTAGCCTGTCTCTAAGAACATTGATATACATTTACAGTAGTTGAACTAATGAATCAATATGCTATGTACAAAAGTTCTGGGATAAACAAACCATAGAACTTATGCAGAGGACATGGATATATTAAGACAGCCAGTTTGCTGTAGTAGTTAAGACATTGGGTTAGAAAACTGTGAATTCTAGTCCAGCCTAGCCTTAGGCCCAAAGTCAGTTGATTGACCTTGGGCTACTCACTCCCTGTCAGCCCTTAGAAGAAGGCAGTAGCAAGGTACTTCCAAAAATGTCATCAAGAAAACTGCAGGAACAAATGAATCCAGGCACTCACATTCCAAGGCACATGTGTGTGAAGGTTTCATCTCAAGCTTTACAAATCATAGAGGGTTTTTTTAATTCCTTATGTCCTTGTTATGGGTTGAGGTAGGATTGCCAAACAAAGGGCAGTGTGATGAAAGGCTTGTGTGGAAAGAAAAACAGCCTGTGATGCTACCATTATGAACCATGGAAGTTAGCAAAAACTTTGAATACAGCTGCAGAAATTTTATCTTGCCATCTGAAGTATTTAAAGGTTAGGGTATGGTTGTAGTATTTAAACCAATATGTTTGGAGTTACTTCAGACAAAGTAATTCCTAAAGTAAGCATGGGGTAGATGGGGGAACCGTGTGCCACAATGAATGTAAAACTGAAGTTTAATGATGGGAAATTAATGTTTGGTAAATCGACATTTCTAGAACTGTCAGATGGCCTGATCAACATATCTGGAGCTAAACCCCACTGGGGACTTATCTAGAAGTTTGCATGCAATCCTTTCTAAACCTTTTATCTGGTGTGATCTTGGTGTCTAACTGATGGTTAACTGATACTTTTTTCTGACTCAGGATCCAGATTCTGATCTAGCTTAGACAAAAAACTACTTTAGCATTAGCACTTAGACTTATATACCGCTTTATAGTGCTTTAAGTCTTTAAGTGGTTTACAGAGTCAGCATATTGCCCCCAACAATTTGGGTCCTCATTTTACCCACCTCAGAAGGATGGAAGGCTGAGTCAACCTTGAGCCTGGTGGGATTTGAACTGCCAAACTCCAGGCAGCTGGCTGCAGAGGTAGCTTGCAGTATTGCACTCTAGCCACAGAGGCTCCTATAAAAAACTCCTTTGGTATTGTATATGGAAAGCTGCCACCTTACCACTATCCTCTTTTTCCGGCACAAAATCAGATTTATTCTGTTTCTAACTAATCTCAGTTTGTCACAATTTCCAAAATAGAAGCAGAAACCGTATTCAAACTGTAGTTGATCTAAATAATTTGAGATAAAAACAAATCATGGCTTGATACAATGCTTTTCAGTTTGCTTTAGACTCCAAAATCGCTCAAGGGAAAAGTGGGGTTTACTCCAGATATGTTGATCAGGCCATTTTACATTTCTAGAAATGTCCATTCACCAAAGATTAATTTCTCATCATTAAACTTTGCTTTTGCATTCACTGTGGCATCTGCCCCATGCTTACTTTAGGACAGGAGCGTCAAACTCAATTTCACCGAGGGCTGAATCAGGGTCGTGTTTGACCTCGGGGGGAGGGTGGCATGGACACGGCTAGGGTGGATATGGCCAACTTGACGTCACTCATATCGGGGGTGCCTGTGGTGGCTTGAGTGCTCTGCCAGCAAAAACGAGCACCCAAGCCCCGTTTCAGCTGTGACAGCCTCCTGCAACCCTCTGCCAGTGACAACGGAGCTCGGGAGGGCTGGTCCTTCGCTGTTTCTAGGTCAGCCCTGTGGACCAGATCTAAGCACCCTGCGGGCCATATTCGGCCCGCAGGCTTTGAGTTTGATATCCCCACTCCCCCCCCCCACAAAAAAACCATCAATACAGCTGTTTCTCCTTAAAAACACAAATATGGTAAAACAACATAGACTTAACAGCAATGCAATTCAAAGCATTGAAGTAATTAATTCATTCTGATCCAGGTAAATGCTTGGATTTTAAAGTTTAATGCTATAGCAATCCAGGCTATAAAGAGTCTTTGCAGTTCGTATATTCCCGAGGGGCACATTCCAAAGGTTTTAACTTTAGACTAGTGTTTTGGAAGGAAAGCCTCTTCCTTCAAACCACAGTTTTGGTCCAAGCCAATTTATGGAGCCTAATCAATCACTGTCTGATACAAACATGCGTGTAGGTTCATAAGACCCACAAGACACACACATTTAGATTGTTTGCAGGTTTTCAGTAACCAGCAACAGTTTTTTCTAATAAAATCGCCCGTGCCTTGATTTCATTTTCTCATGCAAACAAATTAGGAAATGCAAAATCTCCTGGGTCAAATTTTCTAGATGCAAAAGCTGCTTTTGGGCAGCTTCTGAATAGCCTCATCTGTCAAACACGAACCACAGGTATCCAGTCATTCAGCAGCTTCAAATCTTGGATACCAAGTTGTACGAATGTGATAATGTGCAATTAAAACAACATTGCGGTGAAGGAGGGAAGGGCAGGACTCCTCAGAGGAAGTGGGCAATCTTGGTTCAGGCTAAATGAAACACTTGGCTTATTGATTAATTTAACACATGAGTTTGCAAAGGGCAAATGTTTCCATTTTTGGAATGACAAATGACTTTTTATAGGCTAACGGCAGACAAGTATTTTAATCTAATGAGAAGATCGTGAAAAAAGAAACCGTGAATTAGAAGACCACTTGCCAGTTGAGGTCTCTGTTTCTCTATGATTTAGGAGCCCCCAATAAAATATGAGAATTGTCTGAACTTTTCATGACTCAGCCAAACGTGTTTGTGGCTGGATATTCCTTTATTTTGACATTTAAAGGACTCTGCATGCAAATGATATAAACAAAAGCTGCATGCTTTGGTGGGTTACTTCTATAGAATGGGACTAAAACACATAAAAGTATATTTTAGTTGTTATGATGGCTTATGGATTTGTGTTAGTGACCTATGTATTGGGGGAAGGGGAGGCATAGAAACAAAATCAGATCTCCCTATTTTTAGTTGATGCTGCCAACTAAAACACCCATAATTCTTCCTCCTCCTTTTCCTTCTCAACTTACACCCATTCTTTCCATGCCAATTCTTTACCCTTCCTGCTATTGTAGATTTATAAGGGATTATTATTTTTTAGACATTATAGCTCCTGTCTTGGCCCAAGCTCATGAATTATGCAACCCCACCCATTTCTCCTTCTGATGGCCTATGAACAAGCTCACACTGGAGCGAGGCCCCACAAAATCAGCCGGCATTCGGAACTTAACCCACATTCAAATTTTAGGAAGTGGATGACCAGAATGCAGATAGGTAAATCTGCATTAAGGTTTATTGCAAACTATCCTAAAAATATGAGTTCCAGGTATAGCTATGAAAGAAGAGACAGACATCACGATCTCCAGAACTTAAACTATATTATCCACTTAGCTTTTGTTAGCCTCCGCTAAGATCATCAGAGTGTAAAAACTACCATTAAAGAGATATTCACCTTTATGCATCATTGATCAATGTAGCCATTGCGCACATGATAGGCCCATCCACCCTCCTCCCACCTGTGATTAGCTCTATTGTTTTTACTTCAGACATGTTAATCGATGTAGGCTTAACTCCTATTGCTTCCTTCCCTACCGCTCCCCTCTGTATTCGGCCCCACAAGGGAGGAACCCTTTTGGGCATGTAGATTCATCCTGCAAAGGCATAGCCAGTCTGGGCCGAATACAGAGAGGCCGGCAGAGCTGCCTCAAGTCATAATAGACATGGACAATGAGGAACGAGCCGGGCTGATTATAAGGTCACGGGCAAAACAACAGATGAACCTGGTTGATATATCAAATGTGCCCGTGAGGCGGAGGTCCGTTGGTGTGAGGGAGGGGGTCAGAGAGAATGCCGTCAAAGTAATAGCTGACAGTTCAGCACCATTCCCTGGGGATTAGCAGCCTAAGCGGGGCACGGTAGGGGAGGAAGCAATAGGAGTTAAGCCTCCATCAATTAACATGTCTGAAGTAAAAACCATAGAGCTAATCACAGGTGGGAGGCAGGTGGATGGGCCTATCATGCGCGCAATGGCTACATTGATCAATGATGTATAAAGGTGAATATCTCTTCAATGGTAATTTTTGCACTCTTATGATGTTAACAGGACTAACAACAGCTAAGTGGATAATACAGTTTAAATTAAGGTTTATATATTTCTAGGGTTTTCTCTCACCTTGCCTCCCTCCCTATAACATGAGTTTTCTACGATTCATTAAACTTTGCAGCATTCTTATTTTTAGACCATCAATTTACACCAATTTACATCTACTGCTTTAGTTTCCAGGCGCCCCAAATGGAAATTTCCAAAGAAAGATGAGAGTCAAGTACATAAGACCTTAAGGAAAAACATAAGGATAATTTAAATTAGCATTGTAGAAGTAATCAAAGTGAGTATAGAATCTGCATACAATTAGATGTCAAGACTGTGGTTTAATTAGGCAGATAATAGCTTTAGTTACATTTTGATTTATTGATGCAACCGACTTTCATTTCTCTAGTTCTACAGCCAATTTGCTTGATTAAGGGAATTGTGCAGAATAAATCTTAATACATAGCTGGGTATGCTTATAAAAGCAAGAGATATTTATTGAGTATCTGTTTATAAACTGATGTGTTGTTTGCAATCATATACAAATTGTCAATGGTTTTTGAAACTGTCCCTCCCAAGATTATTATTTCCATTATATTTCACTCCCATTTGTCTTGGTAACCAGGTTTGTATGCTGTTTTCATTGCTTAGTCCCGCAGAAATCATTTACTGGTATAAATCTAATAAATCAATAAATAAAATAAGTTGTAATGAGGGGTCCTTGGTGCTCTCGGAGCTTGCTTGTTTCTTGCAGACGTTGTATTACCCAAACTAGGAAACAGTTGTTACCCAATTTGGGTAATGAAACATCCACAAGAATACAAGCAAGCTCGGAGCGCATCAAAGATCCCTCATTTCAACCCTGAGCTATAAAAATTCTCCTTTATTGATAAGTTGTAACTATGCCTGTGCTTTGTTTCTTGTCTTACTTGTTTTTTAATTCATGGTGTCTTTACAGGAAAACCACTGATAAAGACATCAAAAACCATCGTGACCAACCAAAACTTGCCAACTATTTCTGTTGATATCGGAAGCACAGTGAAAACAATTCCAGGAGTAAATGTGACCATTAACTGCCAAATTGCAGGTCTGTTATAACTAGATTAATGAACAGGCTTAAATTTTCATTGCTTTTGATTTGAAATATCACACTAAAGCATTTTATTGGATTGCTAAGGATTGCTATGCAGTGCTCATCGGTGGAAGAACATAATTTAATGCAGATTTGAAATCCAGCTCCAAACATTGCCTGCAGCCTTAGAGTTGCTTCCAGCCAGCTTAGAGTATTCTGAGTGAGATGAAACAAGGATTTAAATCAATGTAAGGTAGTTTCATAGGTTTGGAGCATGACAAAGCAACCATCATTTCCATTTATTAACCAGGAAGGCCTTAATATTTCAATTAACTATAGGACGCTTTAGTTCTGTATTATGCAAAAAGGAATTATGCATCTACCTTTCTTTCCAACTTTTCAGAAAAAATCTTTATACCGCACAACTGAAGACTGAAATGTAGCTTAACTGATAAGGCAACAAAATTTGAAATCTGTATTAGTGCAAGGCAGAAAAATAAAGAACAGCAAACATATTAGAATATCGGGGAAAGTGCCTATGGACCAAGCTTTTATGAGACAGCTTAGCCTTTTATGAGCAATGTAACTTGTCTATTTTGAGTAAACCTACTAAAAAGCTCATTTGGGGGGAAAGCGATCCATAATTTAGAAAAAGTAATCAAAATAATAACAAATGTGCCTCTCTGCCATATTTTAATATACAAAGTGGTTTGTAACGCATATTTTTATTTCTGGACTCAGGAAGGAATATGTTCAGGAATTGTGGCTTCCTGCCTTAATGCCAGGCCTTGGTATTAGGCTTGGAAACAAGCAGGAGTCAATGAAATGAGAAACCATGTCCAGTTTGGATCAGAGCTGCCAACTTTACTGACATTTCTGGATAATCATAGAGTAAAGCCTTAAGTGTTTTTCCTTCGGCCACCTTGGAATTTATGGGGAGAAGGGAGGAAGTTGTAATATGAGAGAATGGATCCTAAGGTATTATTCCATATTGAACATTTCTGGCTTTGGGATCTACAGAAGTGAGCTATATGAGCAGAAAACAAGAATTGGGTAGAACAAGGGATAGAAAATAATACTTTGTAATTGATGGATGATACAGCCCACCAAAAGGATAATCCTTAATAACAACAAATTAGTGAATTGTTTCATTTTTTGGTCCAGAGGTACCTGAAATATTCTTCTTCCAGCTAGGGATATGATTTCTTTTGTATCGTTCATACTTTCTCTTTGAATACAGATGAAAGTTGCTATAAGTTTTCCCAGGATGATGGCCAAGAAGACTATGTCTCTCTGATATACAGATAGTCCTCAACTTATGACCACGATTGATCCCTACATTTCTGTTGCTAAGCGAGACTTTTGTTAAGTGAATTTTGTCCCATTTTGCAACCTTTCTTGCCCCAGTTGTTAAGTGAATCACTGTAGTTGTTAAGTTAGTAACACAGCTGTTAAGCGAATCTGATTTTTTTCCATTGACTTCACTTATCAGAAGGTTGCAAAAGGGGATCATGTGATCCCAGGGACACTGCAACTATCATAAACATGAACCAGCCTCCGAAGTTTGATCCCGTGATTATGGGAACACTGCAACAGTCGTAAGTGTGAAAAAAGGTCATAAGTCACTTTTTTCAGCATCGTAACTTCAAACGGTCACTAAATGAACTGTTGTACATTGAGGACTACCTATATTCTCCCCCATTTGCTATTAAGACTGTGGATGATAAATTACACTTTTTTTAAAAAAAGTACTATGATTTAAGACAAGGGTCTTCAAACTTGACAGCTTTAAGACTTGTGGACTTCAACTCCCAGAATTCCTCCTCCAGTCATGTTAGCTCAGGAATGCTGGGAGTTGAAGTCCACAAGTCTTAAACTCGCCAAGTTTATAGACCCTTGATTTAAGACAATCTCTCATGCTGTCTACAGTTAAAACTGTGGACCAGCTACTACATCTTCATTTCTGACCTATCTTCAGAAGGCAGTTTTTAGCACGTTGGAGTAAAACTCAACCCAAGTTGAGTTTGAAAACTTAATGACTATATTCTCTTTTATTTCTGACTCTTCCTTTTCCCATGCAATTGCTTCCTGCAGATGGAACATATAAACTTGATTGATTTGTGTTTACCTTGAGGCAAAGGGAATGGATAATACAGGTAATCATAGAGAAGATCTGAAATCTGGGTATATGCACTGTTCTGTATCAAATAGTGCTGTAAATTAGAACCACAAGATTTTACCCAGAGCTTTAACTGGATAAAATCCCCTCCCTGTTGTTTGTGCAGCCTCGATGAGAGTCAGTGTTATGGGATTTGGTTTCACACGGTAAATCTGGCTGTAAACAATGAAATATGAACCCAAAGTGATGAAGTTTGAAAATGAAATAGGTGAGCTTGAGATTAAAAGTGTATTGCAGATATATATATATAGGCGAGAGTAACAGTAGACTGTTGCAGTGGGTAATTTATACCTTCCTGTCTCACTTCTGCCTTTTCTGTAAGGCTGAAGATGAATTATATTTCCAATTGATTGTGCCTTGCCATTAAATGGCCAGATCAGTTATCACCAATTGTGACAATCTCAGGCTGCCTATGCCAAGAACTTTGTGTGCACAATAGGGCCCCTGAGAAGTAACAGTGTGTTTTCTTCAAATTGAGTCTCAGAGTTTCCAGAAGTAAAATCAACAGGAAGAAGCAACTCCCTTCTCCAAAAACTGAAAACAAAACTCCATTTATCCCTTTGTTATGGAGGGGAAACTACAGGAGAAGGGAATGAAACTAAGCAACAAGATTTGTTTAAAAAAATGATGGAAGCAAAAGAGTGACTGATGGCAAGGATAAGGAATAGCCAGTGGCAGATTAAGGCTCACTGGCACCCCACTTCTTTGTACATACAAGTTTTTTTACAAACCTTCATTGGGTTTTGTTTTTCTTTCTCAACTTTGTGGTGCCCCCTTTGGGCCTGGTGCCCTAAACACGTGCTTAGTCTGCTTAATGTTTGATACACCACTGGGAATAGCAGAAGATAAAGTGCAATCCTTTATTGCAAGTCCCAACCCATGTCAGGTTGCTAAATAGGACTGGATATCTCTTTTTGCCATAGGCACCTCAGTAAGAGTGAAATTAGATGTCATCAGGAAGATCAGACTGGATCTCCCAAGTTACTTTTTTTTTCTTTATTTAACAACCAGAGGTTGAATTAGGACCAAAGCATTGGAAGAGAGAGAAATTAGATCTTCCCCTTCTGTTTCCCCTCCTTAAAATTGCCCCTTAAAGCTTGGCCAACCACAGGACAAAGGAGAAAGGATATAGACCCAGTAAGCTTAATTGTGTGGATCAATTGATTCCAGTAATAACGATAAGAGCAATCCAGGCCTAGTTCCAAACTCCAAAAGGGAGATTACAGTTAATCTTCGATTTACAAGAAATTATTTAGTGACCGTATGAAGTTACAATGGAGCTGAAAAAAGTGGCTTATAACCCTTTTTTTCACTTAATGACCATGGTAGCATCCCCGTAGTCACGTGATCAAAATTCAGATACTTGGCAACTGGTTCATATTTATGACAGTTGCAGTGTCCAGAGGACACATGATCTCCTGTTGCAACCTTCTGACAAGCGAAGTCAACGGGAAAGCCAGATTAAATTAACAACTGTGTCAGTCACTTAACCACTGAAGTGATTCACTTAACCACAGTGGCAAGAATAGTTGTAAAAGGGGGCAACATTCACTTAACAAATACCTTACTTGGCATCAGAAATTTTGGGCTCAGTTGTGGTCGTAAGTCAAGCACCTGTACACAATCTCCCTCTCCATTCCCGCAAGAAGGAGATCAGGCCAGGCCAGGCACTGTCCTCTCTGAGGGAACTGTCTCCCTTCCAGGGTAGTTGTACTTCTTCTTGGGTTACAAATACGGAAAGAAGGATCAGAAAAGGCAGAGCTACCGTGTGTTTTTTTCCATGACAGAAATGCCTCAGAAATGCCAGCAGTACAACTACTATCTGCTGGCAATTTGGGGAAGGCAAAATGCACAGTACTCAATGAAATTCATTAGAAGGTTTTCCCTTTCTTTGGGAAGGTTAAAATGTAACATTTGGAATCTTCATAATACTTTAAATAAAGCAAATAAAGTATAAATGTCTATGGAGATTCTCAGTCACTCAGGTCATGGTTGTCCCAAAGCAGTGGTGGTATTTGACCAGTTCAGCCCGGTTCTGGCAAGCCGATAGGAGTGATGAGCAGCGGAGACCAAACAGCTTCTCTCCACTGCTCTGCTGTTGGGCCCACTTGCCCGCCCATACTCGCCTTTATCCGCTGAATTTAAGAATTTTGAAGTAGCGCTGCACAGCAACTGCTGAAGCAACCAGGATCTTGCAGGCTTGCAGGAGGCAAGTTAGAACGCCTCTGCACCTAGGCAAATGCCTCTGCACCTGGGCAAAGTGCGTGTTTGGCATGCGCGTGCGCGCAAAGTGTGGGCCGACCAAGCCACGCCCACCAAACCGGTGGCAACAATATTTGAATCCCACCACTGTCCCAAAGGTGCTTTTTTTCAAGAGGTAACTGGACTTTAGGTTTTTTCTCTGAAGACGTTTTGCTTCACATTCTAGAAGCTTCTTCAGCTCTGATCCTTCCATCCCCCACCATCCAGACCAAACTGAAGAAGCTTCTGGGATGAGAAGTGAAACATCTTCAAAGAAAAGAAAAACCAGGAAGTCCAGTTGCCTCTTGAAAAAAGCACCTTTGGGGAGGCTGTATAAAGTATACTTTATACTTTTTTTTATACTTACGGCCACAATCGAGCCCAAAATTTCCAGTGCTAAACAAGACAGTGGTTAAGTGAGTTTAGTGACCTTCTTTGCCACAGTTGAGTGAATCACTGCAGTTGTTAAGTGAATCATGAGGTCATTAAACGTATCTGGCTTCCCCCATTGACTTTGCTTGTTGGAAGCGAGCTGAGATGGTTACAAATGATGATCACATGACCCTAGGATAGTGCGACGGCCATAAATGCATGCCAGTCACCAAGCCCCTGAATTTTGATCGTGTGACCATGGGGATATTGTAGTGGTCGTAAGTAACCAGTCATAAATCACTTTTTTCCATTATCATTTTGAATGGCAACTAAACAAATGGTTGTAAGTTGAGGACCACCTGCATAAAACATCCCCCCAAAAAAATCTAACAATGAGAGAGGCTATTTTGTCAGTTAAATAACTTTAGAATTCAAATTTTTGTAAAACATGGAAGATGAAAGTCTGTGGAAATCCAGGTCACGGTTGTCCCAAAGGTGCTTTTTCAGGAGGCCACTGGACTTCCTTGTTTTTCCTTTGATGAAGTTTCGCTTCTCATCCATGAAGCTTCTTCAGCTCTGACAGGATTCTCCACTATCCTGTCAGAGCTGAAGAAGCTTCTTGGATGAGAAGCAAAACATCTTCAAAGAAAAAACAAAAAAGTCCAGTGGCCTCCTGAAAAAGCACCTTTGGGATGCAGAAGATGAAAGCAACATATCTGGAACCTTCATATGTTGAAAACACTTTTTATTTTATTTTCTGCACTGTTAAAAAAAAAAAAGATTGTAGAACGATACGTTGCTTTGGTACCATACACAAGGTTCACCATGGATATTCTTTGTGTTTCTCTCGTCTCTCTTTCATGGTGTTCCTACATCAGGTGTGCCTGAGGCAGAACTTACCTGGTTCAGGAACAAAATCAAGATTCCCCCTGATCTTCACATCCATGATGGGTCACTGCTGATTCCAAACGTATCTATCTCAGACCAAGGCTTGTATTCTTGCAGGGCTGCCAACATCCGCGGGGAGGTAACAGAAAGCACACAGCTATTAGTCCTTGGTAAGTTAAAGTATGCAATATTTTCAAGAATTAATATCTTTTGTTATTTTTTTCTCTAACAAAAAAACCTGTTGATCAAAGGATGTACAGTTGTGTAGTATAATTTAATTGGGGGAAATCAACAAGTATCAAAAGACTTTAAATATATTTGTATTGAAGATTCTCCCATGAGCTGTTCAGAGCATCCAGAAGTGGGAGGTGCTTCAGTCTCTTCTGGAAAGGCTGGGTTTAAAAGTTCGGGATGCTCCTCCTCCACGGGACACCTCCTCAGTGTCCCCCAGTTTTAGCTCAGACTTTGTGGTAAGAGGTGTGCACTCCCTGACTGGAATGGTTTCTGATTCAGCTAGTCAAGATTCAGATTTGCTCTTGGGTTAATTCGGCTTGCAAATTTTTTCCCCCTATTAATCTGGCAATTTCAAGGGTTGTGGCTCTATTAGGTTATCCCCCCGATCAGTTGAGAGCAGCTCTTTGTGACTGGCAGAGCCTGCCACTTCGCAGGCAGTCTCAGACAGCCGCTTCAGGCAATTAGCCTATCTAATTCCCCGATCGTCTTATCTTTGCGATCTTGCCGGAACGCTCGCAGCCGCGGCTCACTTCTCCTTACAGGATCATTTGTCTGACATTTTGGAGAGGCAGCAGCAGCGGGTCGTTAAACTGCTCAGGCATTTAACACTGGAGTTTCTGCCTTCCCGCCTTTTTAAACGGCTGGCTTCAAGTTCGCACCTAAATATTACAGGCGCCATTCCCCGCTGGTTTCCCTTCTTGGGGACCAGGGCAAGTACTTTCCCACTCCACTTTCCAGGGATTATTTCTCCCTTAGCCTGCTGGCATTGGATAAGCGGACTAAACAGGATTTTTAACCTTAAAAAGGATTTTTTTTTTCCCCTCTCGCAATTGCTTTTGGATCGTTACATTGGAGCGAAGCCTCAAGTGCCATTTCAAACAGCGGGATGTTTTTGACAGGAAAGGATCCATCCAGGACCTGTATAGCTGGTTTCCCTTGTTGGGGACCAGGGATCCTGAATATTTCTTGCTTGGAGCGCTTGAGGGGTTTCCCTTGCTTGGGACCCTTAGATACTATTTCCCATATATACGGGCTTACATATAGATATAGGCATATGTATATATACGTGTGTTTGTACATAAGATATATAGAGAGAGAGAGACTTACACTCCTGGAGAAGCGCCCTACTTTCAACCACAGGGGTAGGCACCACCCCGAAGTACAAATAATAATAATAATAATAACAACAACAATAATTTTAAAAAAAGTTAGAGACACGAGATTAAGTCCTCCACAATGGAAGGTAACAACGTCTTCTGCTCCAAGACAAATAAGTCCCGAGATAAGTCAGTGGGCCCCATAAAGGCCTCTAAGGCGGCAGAGAAGGATGCCCATAGATGGCACCAAGCCTTGGAAAGGCAGTGGCAGAAACGGGCCAGGGAGGCGGACAAGATGGCTGTGACACAACAATCGGATCAGGGCCCAAGTACATTGTTGGGGCCCTTGGACTTATCCACCCAGCCCAGACAGGCTATTTCTGGACAGCCTCCCATAGGCATATGTCCTCCAATGAGCACTGCCCGGCAAATCCCAGAGGCAACCTTCACCCCTACGGCCGCTGGTTTAAGACAGGAGGAGGGATTACCTGAGACTATTCCCATCGAAATGAGGCAATGGATGGAGATGGCCATACAAAAGGACATTGTGGCTGGAGTTCAGCAATCCATCCAGACCAGACACTTTTCAGCTACTTCAGAAGCGGGATCCCTGTCTGCTTGATCCTTTGCGCATATGGGACATCATCAAATTCAGGTATTCCCCAATATCCCTGACATACCAGCCCATGGTCTTCGGGAGGAGGTGGAATTAGATGACCAGGATGTTCCCATGGAGGTGGGGTTGATCCATCAGATGGACTTGGGGTTGTCAGAGGCTGACCCACTAGAACAAGGAATGTCGGATGACGAAGGCCTCATTCCGGACCAACCTACCTTTTCTGGCCTTTTTCATCCACACCTCTTTAAATCTTTACTGTTCAAAGCAAAGAACACCGCTAAACTAGGCACATCAAGCCCTCATCCATTGTCAACAAGGTCTCAGGACGAATCCGAGGATCTAATATTCTCACAACTGGCTAATGAGGCAGAAACTATTCCTGTCCCTGGTATGTTTGCTGAATTAGTACAAAATCAATGGGCATCAGCAGCATCCTACCCAGCCCCAATAGGGTACGATAAACGATATTATAATTTGGCACCAGAGTTTTCAAATTTTCTCAAAACGCCGGAGGTGGATGAGCCTATTGTGGCACTGGCCTCTTCTTCAACCTTTCCCAACAAGTCCGAGGAAGCCCTGAGACCGGAGGAAAAGAGAGCAGAGTTGGCACTCCGTAGGGCTCATGTTTCTGACGCCTGAGCCATTAGGGCAGCTACAGCTGCGTCCTTTTTTACATGGTCCTCCCTACGATGGCTCTTCCACTTGAGGGATATATTGCTGGCGTCAAATGTCAGAGCCCACCAGGACATTGCTAAGATTATTGCAGCGGCAGAATTCTCCGCCGATGCCACATTTAATGCAGTCAAATTCTCATCTAGAGCCATAGCATCTCACGTATCAGCACGAAGACTGCTATGTCTCAGACAGTGGCAGGCAGATACCAAGCATAAATGCAAGTTGGCATCAGCGCCAATATTGGGGGATAAATTATTTGGCAGTGTCTTGGAGCCCCTGCTTATTGAGAATAGGAACAAGAGAAAAGTGCTTCCCCTCTTTTTTGGAGGTCTGAAAACAGAACGCCCCAGTCATTTCGAAGGGGTTCCTTTCAGCCCTACTATCAAGGCCCATGCGTTGCCAGATCGCAAAGAACATCAGGCTACAGACCCAGTTTTAGACAGGATAGGTCGGAATCTTCCGACAGAGATCAGCGGGGAGGCCAAAACAGAAGAAACCCCAGAGGTACCGAGGCTGATTTTTTCATCGCCCCAAATGAGTCCTTGACAGCAGCTCCCATTGGAGGGTGGCTAAAATTGTTTGCTGATCAATGGGACAGCTCCACCTCTGATGCATGGGTCAGGGACTCTGTTAGGTTTGGTTTGGCGCTAGAGTTTCAATCCTCCCCCCCGAACTTTTTCATTAGGAGCCTTAGGTCCATGGATCCCATTAAGAGGGCGTTGATGCAGGAGGCTATCAATCATCTTCTGCATATTCAGGCCATTAGAGAGGTCCCATCTGAACAATGGGGTCAAGGCTGTTACTCTCTATTGTTGTGGTCCCAAAGAGTTCGGGGGGCTGGAGGGCAATTCTGGACTTCATACATCTGAACAGATCATTGGTTTATCGAAAATTCAAAATGACTACTCTCCAGACCATTCTGCTCAGCATCAGAGAGAACAATGTCCTGACCTCTATAGATCTGACAGAGGCTTATCTACATTTACCAATTAGACCTGCTCACTACAAATATCTTAGATTTTGCTATTGTGATCAGCACTACGAATATATCGCCCTACCATTAGGTCTGGCTTCGGCCCCTAGGACTTTTACCAAGGTCTTAGCGGCTTTCTCTGCCTCCCTCAGGATCAAAACTATTCGTTTACAATGTTATCTGGATGATATTTTAATTTTGTCATCTTCCAGACATCAAGCAAATTTGGATACCAAGATTACTCTGGAGACCCTTCAAGGTCACGGCTTTTGCATAAATTGGGATAAAAGCCATTTGATCCCTTCAACTAGGTTAGTTCATTTAGGGGCAGTGATAGATACCGTGGAGGGCAAGGTTTTTCTTTCTCAGGACAGGTTGAATAGTATCCAGTCTTTGGCCAGAGGGATCAGAACCTTAAAGAGGGTTTCCCTGGCAGTTCTGTCTCAACTGCTAGGGAAACTGATTTGTTGTATTTCCATTGTACCTTGGGCTCGGTTCCATTCTAGAGATCTGCAATGGTTCCTGCTACCTTTCCAGCCATCCAGAAGAGCCACTTCCAACATCCGGATAAAGGTACCGTACAATGTTCTCCGATAGCTCCCCTGGTGGTCGGAAAACACGATAAACAAGGGGTGTCCTTTCAAGGAACCTTGCAGGGCAACGATCACAACCGACGCCAGCTTGGTAGGATGGGGAGCTCACTTCCAATCCCACACTGCACAGGGAAGTTGGACTATTTCCGAACAATCACAAAGCATCAACCTGTTGGAGCTGCGAGCAGTTCATCTGGCATTACGCAGTTTTCTACCCATTTTCCAATCACGCCACGTTCTGGTCTTGACAGTCAATATCACAACCAAGGCCCACGTAAACAGACAGGGGCGGTATCTGCTCCAAACTTCTGATGCTGGAGACGGTTAGGTTGTTCAAGTGGGCTGAGGCCAATCTGTTGTCGCTCAAGGCAGAGCACATAGCAGGGGCCTTAAACACACAAGTGGACTGGCTCAGCAGGGCCTCGATAGATCAGGCAGAGTGGTGCCTACACCCGTCTCTCTTCCAGGAAGCAGTGCGGAGGTTTGGGCAACCGGTGATCGATCTATTTGCCTCTCCCTGCAACGCCCAATTGCCCCGGTATATTTCAAGGTACCCGACTCAGGGGGCAGAGGCCGTCAATGCTCTGTGATGTCAGTGGCCTCCCGGACTTCTATATGCGTTTCCTCCACTCCCTGTAATACCCAGGTTGATCCAGAAGTTATTGGAGGAACAAGCAGAACTGATATTGGTCGCCCCTTACTGGCCCAGGCGAACGTGGTTCGTGGACTTACAGGACCTGTCAAGAGAACAACCTTGGAAAATTCCACCATCCAGGGTTTTCCTCTCGCAAGGGCCGGTTCTTCACCCGGACCCACAATGGCTCGGCCTAGCTGTATGGAGGTTGAGTGGAACCATTTAAGGACCCAACAGATTTCAGAGGATGCCATTGCCACCATACAAGCATCCAGATGGTCCTCTACAAATCCTATATACGAGGCCATGTGGTCCGCTTTCTGTCGCTGGTGCCGGGGGTCTAAGATCAACCCAACCGCCCCATCAATAGGACAATTATTGGACTTTTTACAGGAGGGGTTGACCATGGGCCTATCTCCAAATACTTTACGCAGACAGGTGGCAGCCTTAGCCTTGGTGATATCCTGGGGTGACCTTCTTTCCATAGCACACCATCCACATATCCGCAGCTTTCTTAAGGGTGCTGCAAACTTACGACCTCCTGTAATTCACCGCTATCCCACTTGGGAGCTCAACAAGGTGTTAATTGCACTTACAACTGGCCCGTTCGATCCTTTAAGAACCGCTAGTCTCAAATTCCTGACATATAAGGTGGTCTTCTTAATTGCGATCACATCAGCAAGGTGGATTTCCGAGTTGGCAGCATTGTCAATGAGAAAGGACCTGTGCATGTTTCATGCAGACAGAGTGGTTCTCAGATTGGATCCATCGTTCATCCCTAAAGTAAATTCAGCCTTCCACAGAGTGCAGGAGTTGGTGCTTCCAAATTTTTGTCCGAAACCATCTCATAGACTGGAGCATCAATGGCATCAACTTGATGTTCGAAGGGCCTTAAGCATCTATCTAGACCGCACGGCACATTTCAAAAATCTGAGGCTCTATTTCTATACTTCAACCCATCTACTTTAGGACACAGGGTGTCGTCGACGACCATCAGTAGATGGTTGAGAGCCACCATAGCTAAAAGTTACGAATGCCAGTCCATCTCAGTTCCTAAGGGCATTACAGCCCACTCAACAAGGAGTGTGGCAACTTCAGCAGCATGGGCCACATGGGCTTCCATAGACGAAATTTGCAGAGCAGCAACTTGGGCTCCACCATCTCCCTGTGTCAGAAATTATAAAATTGATGTCTACGCCTCAGCGGATGTTTCATTTGGCAGAAGAGTCCTGCAGAGGGTCCATAGAGTTTAGGAGTGGATTTCGACCAGACGGAGTCCCTCCCTAAGGACAGGCCAAGCTTTGGTATGTCCCACTTCTGGATGCTCTGAACAGCTCATGGGAGAATGGGCGTTGGTACTTACCTGATACGCCCGTTCTCTGTGAGCTGTGAAGAGCATCCAGCCCCACCCATTTCTTTCCATCTGGTGGGGTTCCGTTCTGATCAGGGATCTAGATTAGGTGATGAGTCCCGGACTGTGGCACTCAGTCTTCGCAAAACTGGGGGACGCTGAGGAGGTGTCCCGTGGAGGAGGAGGAGCATCCCGGAGTTTTAAGCCCAGCCTTTCCAGAAGAGACTGAAGCACCTCCCACTTCTGGATGCTCTTCACAGCTCACAGAGAACGGGCGTATCAGGTAAGTACCAACGCCCTTTTTCTTCAATGAAAACTGCATTTTCCAGCTAGGAGAATTGATAAATAATTGGAGCACTAAAGGCATCAGGAATTTATCTCTTTCATAGTAATATTTTTATCATGACAAGGAAAGCCAATTTGATGTAGCGGTTAAGGCATCGGGCTTGAAACAGGAAGACTGCGTTCTAGCCCCGCCTTAGGGAGAAAGCCAGTTGGATGGATTTGGACCAGTCAGTCTCTCTCATCCCTAGGAAGGAGGCAATGGCAAACCATTTCTGGAAAACCTTGTTAAGAAAAGGGAAGGGGAAGTTGGCAGGGACATGTCCAGGCAGTCTCTGAAAATTGAACACAATTGAATGGGGGTGGGTGGGCAGCAGAATCATGAAAAGAATCAAGCTTCTACAAAACGTAATGATGTTAGGACCAACTTTCCAACAGATAATTAAATGGGATTTTTCCACAAATGTCCTCTGATCCCATAGCAAATATTTCCCTCAGGAGAAATGATAGCGTTCCTCATCTTCACATGGAAACCTATCATTTATTGACACCTTCTCTCTCCATTCAAAAACTGACCAATTTTCATTTTAAATATCGCACATCATGATTTTACGCCTAGTGCTACCAAATCTGGGCTATCACAATCTGTGTAAGACTATTGGATAGTACCGGTAGTCCTCGACTTACAACAGCTCATTTAGTGACCGTTCCAAGTTACAGCAGCACTGAAAAAAGTGACTTATGACCGTTTTTCACACTTACAACCTTTGTGGCAACCCCATGATCATGTGATCAAAATTCAGATGCTTGGCAACTGACTCATACTTATGACAGTTGCAGTGTCCCAAGGTCATGTGATCCCCTTTGGCGGACCATCTGACAGGCAAAGTCAATGGGGAAGCCAAATTCACTTAGCAACCATGTGACTAGCTTATTGACTATGGTGATTTATTCAACAGCTTTGGCAAGAAAATAAAATGGGGCAAAACTCACTTTACAACAGAAATTTGGTGCTCAATTGTGGTTGTAAGTCGAGGACTACCTGTAGTGTAGTCACTGTTTTCTGTGCTTCTTCACCGTCTCCTAATGGTCACCCAAATTTTTCCAACCCAGATGTGGTAGCCATTGGTGTCATTTGTCTCCTGAGGGAAGGATTAATTTTTTTGTCATTGATTCCAATTTCTCTGCTTTGGACTTCTTAAAATGGAGTAGAATACTTTACTGGCCAAGTGTGATTGGACACACAAGGAATTTGTCTTGGTGTAAATACTCTCAGTATACATAAAAGAAAAGATATATTCATCAGGAGTCGAGAATCATAAGGTACGACGACACTTAATGATAGCCATAGGGTACAATAAGCAATCAGATCATACTAGGAAACAGTCAATATAAATCGTAAGTATACAAGCGACAAAGTTAAAGTCGTACAGTCACAAGTGGGAGGGAATGGGTGGTAAGGAGGGATGAGAAGAGTAACAGTAATGGTAGTGCAGACTTTGTAATAGTTGAACAGGGTTGAGGGAAATATTTGTTTAGTTCTTGTAAGGGAACAGCCTAGTAAAGCTAATCTTTGGAATATTGTTATAATCATTTCACATGGCTGAGAATGCTATCTGATTCTTAAACAGTAGAGCCATGAAGGACAGCATTCCAAAATATTTGCCTGCTAACAAATGTAGTTCAGTTCAATGAGTTTTATATTTGTGAGTCCATTTAAGACTTCATGGTAAACCAAGATGTAAAATATTTAGGGGTGCATCGGGGAGAGGGGCTCAAGGATCATGAATCTTTCTCGCCTACAGACCAGCCATTTCCCTCTGCTTTGCTCTTACCTGGCAACGGTGAGAATAAAAATTAACTTGTCTTACGTAGTGATGCCAAAGAAAGAAATCTCTGCTGTTACAAAAACAAGCAAACCAGAGGGGAAGCCGCTGATCGCTATGAATTACAAGAGGGTATCCATCACAAATGTCCTTGCAATCTAATTCTTTTAGTCTTGTCCCCCCACTTGACATGAAATATGTCGGAAGGCCAGATCTTTAAACCTAGCTGAAAATCTCAGACGCATCCCCAACTCCCACTGACATCCCTGAGACCTCGTAATGACACCCCTGGCAAAGGGTTCAGGGTTTGGGGAGGATCAATCAACCCTGGGAGTTTTTCTGAAGCTTTTCCAAGTGGCTGAAGGCGGAAGGGATCCCTTCTCCATAGCAAGCTTCCCTCCATGAAAACACTATCCTCCTGTTTTCTGTTGCAGGAGAAGCAAGATCTATAATAAATCACAAACTAACACATACCAATTTCACACCTTGATGACAAATGCCAGCGGGGTTTTTTTTTTGATATACAAAAAAAAAAGAAGGGACTTGGGTCATCGTAGGCTGAAGTTTACTTTATCTTATGTTTCTCAATAGGAAACAGTTTGAGTTTAGCTGTGTGATTTAGAAAGTCTTTGTTGGGTCCAGAGCCTGAGTGGTAATGTATTCCGGGGGCTGATTTAAGATACTCAAGGATTGTCATGCTGTAGATTCGGAGGTGGAGGCTGAGGCCAGCAGCTGACAGGAAGTGGGAATATGACTCCATTGGCTGTGAAAGAAACTGGGGAAGGGCAAAATCCGGCTGGGCAGAGCAGGGAAGAGGTAGAGCAAGGGAGAGGGAATTCAGAGTAAGACCCAGGCCTAGGCTCTTCATCCTAGGGCACCCAGGCTCTTCATCCTAGGGCATGCAGGGAGGAATAGAGAAGGGAGCAACATGAGTTGCATGGCTTATGGGGGAGGGAAGGGCCCTGATTCCTTTCATTAGCTGCAGCTGGGAACACAGTATTTAAAAAGGGAAGTTGCACACAGCAAACTGTTGAGAGCAAATCGTGAATTATCTGGTATTGTTGAGGCTTATCTGGGTTCCTGGCATCTTCCCAACTGTGTGTGTTTGGCTGGCCTTTCAAATCTGCAATTCCTTATCCTGCCCTGTCCAGTTAATTGCTGCAACATGGTTTGTGTGAATTTTTATTTACAGTTTGTATGTACTTTGTTTTCGGACTGTAATTTCCTCCACTTAAAGACTGTTCTTGGGAGAGTTATTTCTCCAGCCGAAGGTAACCTGGACATTGGGGGCGAAGTTGGAGGCACTAAAGGAACTGTTCTTACTTATTTGACTGGGTTGCCTTTGTGGCACGCCCTGGGTCATCACAGGGATGGATTTCCTTGCCACTTTTACTCCATAGTGCTTGAGAAGAGAAAGACAGTGGGCTAGACCAAGCAAAAGCTACTGTAGATTTGTTGAGGAGGTGTGCTCCTTCCGGAAACCCTGTGTACATTCCCAAATGATATGTCAATACCCTTGGCAAATTTTATTTTCAGGTTTTTTTCCCCCTAATGTTGACACAAGTTTTATTAGCTTGTAGCAATTCCTCTTCCCTCCCTCCCTCCCTCCCTCTCTCTCCCTCTCTCTCTCTCTCTCTCTCTCTCTGTTGCTGCCTTATCCATCTCTCTGGCAGGCAGTTTTTTTACAAATGGGCTTCTTTTAGAATCCATTCATTTCACCAAGATTAAGTCTTTCTGAAGGGATTACTAAATAACATTAGGAATTAATCTCATCCACAGAGAGAAAGAGCCTTATTGCATCTTTGTCTCCGTAATATATTCCCAGACCCACCGCAGCTCCCCCATCAATTTGAAGACATGGCAGCCACTCTGTCCCTCGTGGGGCCAGGCATTCCTTCGGTGATAACATCCCCTTCAGGAACAAGAAAAATATTGAGCCAAGGAAGCTCGGTGCTCATAGGTAAGTTCCACCCTTTTGAAAATCTACCTACCCTAAATCTATTCTCCACACCTCCAGGAGGTTGGAAATAAATGGTTCAGCTGAGTGCAGGGAGTCCTTGTGATCAGTCCCAACACAATTCATATACATCAGTTTTGTTTTCAAATACACAGAGCGGCTGGTGAGTTGTTTTTCTTTTTTCATTGAAGATTAAGTAGAAATCTACTCCCAAACAGTAATGCTCTGCGATTGTTGCAAGGAATTTTGCCCAAAACACGTTGGCTTCTCTTTCTCTAAGGTGAAAAATATTTAGGCTTCGTACTTACAAGCTTCTGGAGAGTTTTTTTTTTTTTAAAAAGCCACTGTCGATGAATTACCTATCAAATAAAGATGCTGTGAGTAGTACTTCTCTTATGCCAAAAATATGAATCCAATTCTTTAGTCCTGAGTTGAAATATTTTCAAATTTTGCTCTGTAGAAAATTCTGGATATGTCTAATCAGAAGCAGTCCCGAGGGTTTCCTCTTCCACATGTGTTCTTAGATATATCCAGAAATATGATCTTCCTGGCATGTGATAACTTAATGAAATCACGTATGTGTAAACTAATGGCTAAAATGAAAAATGAAGAAATCCTGCTGACTCCCCCATTCACTGTTTAAGTTAATGGTAAGAATATGTGAGAGGAGAAGAAGAATGAGTGAACTACACACAGTTCCGTGCAACTTATATACCGAGAGAGTGAGAACAGAGGGTGATTGTCTGCCCAGGTTCTCTACATATCTAGAACCTGGATTAATCAGGGTTCTAATCTAAATCACAAGATCTTCATTGCCAAGAAGTTCTCAGTATATCAAGAGTAATGCCTAGGATGACTGAATCCTCAGGAAGAAAGGGGCACGAGATTCACCCTGTTAACACTGTACCTTTACTCCAGTGGTGGGATTCAAAAAAATTTTTACTACTGGTTCTGTGGGCGTGGCTTGGTGGACGTGGCAGGGGAAGGATACTGTAAAATCTCCAGTCAGAGGCGGGATTTGCCGGTTCTCCGAACTACTCAAAATTTCCACTACCGGTTCTCCAGAACTGGTCAGAACCTGCTGAATACCATCTCTGCTTTATTCATTGAGTACATGCCGCATCATGTTGCCCTAACTTAAAAGAGAGAACTGGCACCACAGCGCTCACTTTGCCACGTTGACTGAAGGAATGGCTTTGAAAAGTATGTTGACCTAGTAGTTAGCCTCTTGCTAATGATGCCCACTAATCCTATATGGAAAAAAAAATCTCCTTCATTTTTTGTCCTCGGTCAGTTTGGTGGGGGTGGGTGGGGAAGAGAATCTGTTGAAATTTTGTTCTAAGGAGAAAAGCATTTTAGGAAAATTGACATAGTTGGATTATGATGCTCTTAATTATGAAGTGAACAAGGGCACAAAAATGATCTGCTACACAAAATTATCAGCTACAATGTCCTACTGGTCAATGACTACTTCAGCTTCAACTGCATAATATAAGAGCAAACAATAGATACAAACTCAATGTTAACTGCTCCAAGCTTGATTGCAGAAAGTACGACTTCAGCAACAGAGTGGTCAATATCTGGAATACTCTACCTGACTCTGTGGTTTCTTCCCCAAATCCCAAAAACTTTAACCTTAGAGTTTCTACTATTGACCTCACCCCTTTCCTAAGAGGTCTGTAGAGGGCGTGCATAAGCGCACCAATGTGCCTACCATCCCTGTCCTATTGTTTCTTTTATTTTTTATTTTTCTTATATGTATCCATGTATTCATAATTATGTTTTACTTATACCTATTATCTTGTAAGCAATTGACAAAAATAAATAAATAAAATAAATAAGGGAACAACCCAAAATTACCCATACAGACTCAAGAGAATAAGCAGCCCTTGGAGTAGCTACTTCACTGGCTTCACACTTTTTAAATGGTTAGCTGCTATTGAGTGAGTCAGAATTGGAGAAAGGTTCTTTGTGACGGAAACCATAATACCAATTGAATCCTTATCATTAGAGGATAAACATCACTATTAATTGATGAAATGGTCTATCGTTGAATTGAGCTCTATGTTTAATAAACCTCATCTTTCAACCCCTGTGTATTTTAATGCTAGAGACCCCAGTTTGGTGTAGTAGCTAAAAGCATCAGGCTGGAAATGGAGAGGTTGTAAGTTCTTGTCCTGCTTTTGAATCAGTTACTTTGTCATGGGAACAACGGAGTGCCAAACTACTTCCAATAATGTTGCCAAGGAAACTGCATGGATTTGTCCATGTAGTCACCAGAAGACAAGACTCACTTGAAGGCAAAAGTAAAAACACTTTAGTGATACCCAGACAGTGACCCAGACTTTCAATACAAGTTGCTTTAAAAAAAATAGCTCTGATTCATAGGTGGTATGTAATAAGAACAGTAGTGTTAGCCAGGAAAATGTGCTTTTTATGACTAGAGAAATACAGTCAGCCGTAAAAAGGAAATCCTGCTGTTCCATATTTATTGTTTTCTCCCTTAGTGACTTCCATATCAAGTTTGCTTAGTTCTCAAATCAGACCAGGGTCTTTTTGAATGCAAGCATAAGCTTTGAATCATAGAGAGCCAGTGTTTTTCTTTTCAACATATCTCATTTCCATGTGGAATGAGAGTGTGAGACAACTTTCTCCATTGATTCAGAGACTGGACAACAGGAATATGTCTTCTTATTATGTGAGCCATTGCATTATTTAATTAGAACGGTTGTGCAATAGCAATAGCACTTAGACTTGTATACAGCTTTACAGTGCTTTTCAGCCCTCTCTAAGCAGTTTTACAGACTCAGCCTATTGCCCCAACAATCTGGGTCCTCATTTTACCCATCTTGGAAGGATGGAAGGATGGGTCAACCTTGAACCTGGTGAGATTCGAAATACCAAATTGTAGGCAGCCAAATTGCAGTCAGCAGAAGTAGCCTGCAGTACTGCACTCTAACAACTGCGCCACCATGGCTCATTCATAGGAACACATTCCTTTTGCATTTTACTGGGTAATGCACAAAAATATTATCCCAGCACTTGCCCATTGATTTCCTCATTCACTTCTGGACTAAATAATCAGCCCTGCCTAGAAGAAAGAAAAGGAGAAGGTGAATGGAAGTTCCAGTTTTCCTCCTGATTGATATTGCTCATCTCTTTGGAGAAGCCAGATGATTATGTAGCCGCAGCTATGAAAAAGTAGAATTAAGAAATTGTGAAATTCAGTGGGAGTTTGCTTCAGAAAATGTTGGTCTTGACAAGTGCCCTGGGATATTGGCTCCAGTCTTTTCTTCATCATAATTTTGTGAGCTATTTCGTGTCTGTGGTTGACAATAAATAAATGGTTGATTTTACAACCAATCATTTCATTCCTTCTCTGGTATCGCTCCATATTTGCTTAGGTGGAATTCAATGTTCTTTGTGCAGATATCATGATAGAATTTTTACCATCAGTTTCAAACTAATCAGTCCTACCTGTCAATGAATACTTCAGCTTCAACCATAATCATACAAGAGCAAACAATAGATACAAACTCAAGGTTAATCGCACCAAACTTGATTGCAGGAAATACGACTTCAGCAACAGAGTGGTCAATGTTTGGAATAAGCTACCTGACTCTGGTTTCTTCCCCAAACCCCAAAAACTTTAACCTTAGACTGTCTACTATTGACCTCACCCCTTTCCTAAGAGGTCTGCAGGGGGCATGCATAAGCGCACCGAAGTGCCTACCGTCCCTGTCCTATTGTTTCTTTTTTATTTTTCTTATATGTATCCATGTATTCATAACTGTGTTTTTACTTATACCTATTATCTTGTAAGCAATTGACAAACCAAATAAAATGAAATAAATAAAACTAAACTGCTTTTCTTTCCATAAAAGTACAAAATCTCATGCTCTCGGAGCTGAAGCAGGCTGGAACTAGACAAATATATTGATTCATTGTTCATCATCAACCATTTTTCCCCAGATGTTTGTGTTATAATCAAGGAATACATGGCTATGCAGCATGTTAAGTTTTGACCTATTTTTCTGCCTTTTAAAAATCTTCTAGGCTGCCCAGTAGATGGTCATCCAACTCCAAACATCACTTGGTTTTACGACGGTCATCCCTTCCATCTGCCCCATCAGGTTTTGGCATCTGGTCAGATTCTCCAGATTCTGAATGTCAGCAATGATTATCTGGGAGAAATCAGCTGCAGAGCTCAGAATGAAGCAGGCTTGCTTATTCAAAAAACATCTCTGGTCATCCAAGGTAAGACATATTTCTGGAGCAGCCTTACCCAACTGGTAATTTTTCCATGTGTGTCAACTTCAATTTCTCATAGATTCTTTGAAGTATGACAGCAGAAAACGAATGGATCTTTTGAACTAACAAATGGAATACGCAGTTTTGGAAGGGGGTATATTCTGGTTTTCTGAATTGTTATACATCTTTGCCATTGAATGTTATCAGAGCTTCCTGTAAGCCATACAGAGGGAGTCTTCAGAGAATGCGTAACAGAAAGCTAGACGTTTGTTTCGTTTATTGCAAGCAGAAGGCTATCCAACTTGCTCTGGGCATGCTGTGGAAATGCAAATCTCATACAAAAGTAAATGATTTCTGGATAGAAGTATATGTTCTATTTTACAATATTGTATATTGTTTCATGCTTGGTGATTTGAATGCTTGGTGATATTTTTTTTTCCAGACTAGAAACAAACCCAACTGAGAAAACCTGTGTAGGTTTTATGTCAGATTGCTTACCCTGAGAAGAAAAAAAAGGCAGCCATTTAACAGTAGTAGAATGTAATAGACTGGCAAGTGCATTATAATAAGGTTGTTAAGGTCTTGCACTAAGAGTGGGGAGACTGAAGTTCTAGTCCACCTTCTACCATAGAGATTTACTGTGTGACTTTGAATTTTCACCTCGTTCTCAGACCAACCTGTCTTGCAAAGTTATTGAGTGGTATTCTTTCTCAACCTTTGGGAGTGTTCTTCAATTTTCTTAATGATCCAGCATACTGTATCCGACCAACAAAATTTTCTTTATTTACTTAACTTACATGCCACCCCTCTAGAGAGGGGTCTTACAAATCACAAAAACAATAAGTTAAACATTAAAAAGAATTCATATTAAAATTGATTTAAAATTGTCAGGATGGGAAGGAATAGAACAAGATGCACAGGGGAAGGAGGCAGGCTCTTATCTGAGTCCATTAATCACCTCCAGAATGACACGTCTCCATTGGGTCTCCAGGCCAATTGACAAGGTTTCTAGGCCCTTTGGGGAGGCTAAATGTTATTTATTTCTTGCTTTTTCTAAAACCAGTTTGGATTCCTGTCACTTCCCTTTCCATGACGGGCTCCAACCTTGGAGAATTCTAAAGATTATTTTACTTATATATGAAATTATATCGTGTGATCATTTGCACAATCTTTTAAATCTCCTTTCTTTGCTATTGATATGTGGGTTTATCTCTTTCAGTCTACTAGCCACTTGTTGCTCTCCATATTTTCTAGCATAGCTTGGTTAAAACTTTATTATACACGCAGTTGTATAATGCCCAGTGCTATGTATGGCTTCTTGAGCTCCTGCACATTCTTATCATTCTTTCCATAGACTCGGCTACACTTTTTAACACACTTGAACTGTTGCGATTTCAGATTACTGGTGGTCGGTGGATAAGATGTCATCCTGTTCAGCCTCTTGTGGCAATAAGGGTCTACAGTATCATCAGCTGAAATGCTTACTGGATGGAACCCAGGTCAACGTGTCGCATTGTGTGGGAAAACCCAAGCCAAATCTGCAACCTGTGGCGTGCAATAGGAGAGATTGCCCTTCAAGGTTTGGCCTTCCGTTGAAATATTCAAATGTGTGTCAAAAACTTCGCAATGAAGCAATGATTACTAACCTTTATTATGGAATCATTACTTGCTTAAGCACTGAAAACAACCGAAGTTGCTTTATCAGTTTAAAATGACTGGCAGCCAGGGATTAAGAGTCTCTTTGCAGAACAGAGCACGATATCTCTGTCATCTTTCATGAAGGAAAGGGGTAAGGTACTATGCATCTTGACCAGTGGTGCAATTCAACCAGTGTAACAACTGTTTCGGTGAGCGCACGTTTCACGCACGTGCTTTACATTTTAAAAAGCCCATTTTCAACTCAATTTCTTACCTCCTACTGCAGCCCCTAGGACTAAAACAGCTGAGGCACAGCAAACCGCTCTGCAGTAAATCAGCTGTGCTAAAAAAAAATAATCAGGAAATAAAGCACAGGAAAGAGCAAGGGCAGGTGGGCGGGACCAAATGCTCACCAGAACTACCGGTTCACTTGAACTGGTCCATACCGGTAGAATCCCATCCCTGATCTTGACAGGCAATTACATAAAGTTGAGTCCATCAGAAAGAAATATTTCAGCCCAATCTTCCTAATGTTTACATGACTAGGATACAATTTCCATAATAAGGGTGGGGAAAGCTTTCTCCTTCTTGCATTTCCTTTGCAAATGATGGAAATACGAGGCTAACGTGGCAGAACACAATCTGAACTAGCCTTTTTATTAAACGGTATAGCCCAGTCGCCAGTATCACATCACTACCATTATATTCCAACCACATTTTATTGTATGTCTTGACCAAATGAGAATCGGAATGCCTGAAAAAATTATTATCAGATAAAATAAAGAGGAAAATGGTTGCTCCTTGACAATTTTTTTAACTGCTGCATTTCCTCATTACGCATACACACACACACACACACACACACACACATGCAGGTAGTCCTCGACTTAAAACCAATCATACAGAGACCTGCTTAAAATTACAGCAGCACTGAAAAATAATGACTTATGACCATTTTTCACACGACTGTTGCCGCATCCCGATGGTCACATGATCAGAATTTGGTCACTTGCCAACCGGCCATGACAGTTACAGTGTTTCAGACTTATGTGATCACCTTTTGCGACCTTCAGACAAGCGACGGGGAAGCCAGATTCACTTAACAATCATGTTACTAATTTAACAGCTACAATGGTTCACTTAACCCCTGTGGAGAAAAAAAGAGGGTGAAATGGGGCAAAACTCACTTAACAACTGCCTTGTTTAGCAAGGAGATTTTGGTCCCAGTTATGGTCATAAGTCGAGGCCTACCTCTGCACTGCAGTACATACTGAATGTACACATGCAATATTCTGTTAAAGAGAACCAGTTTGGTATACTGGTGGTAATTAAAGTACAAGGTTAGAAACCTGGAGACTGTGAGTTCTAGTTCTATCATGGGCTCAGAGCCAGCTGCGTAACCTTGAGCCAATCACTCTCTCCCAGCCCTGCGAAGATAGCAATGGCCAGTCACTTCTAAAGTCTTGCTAAGAAAACTACAGGGCTTTGTCCAGCAAGCCACCAAGAGTCCAGGCTGATTTGAAGGCAAATATAAAACACATGTGCAGAAACACACACACACACACACGAATATCCCTGCATGCACACACTATCATTTTTAAATAGATTTTTATTGTGTTTTCCACCAATACAATTCAAATCATAATCACATTTTCAACAGCATTTTGACATGTTTACATATTATCTTATAAGTCTTGATATATTTAATATACATCTATCAATAACTATTATCTTTATCAATAATTGGTTCTATCTTATATTCTTATATACTTTACACATTTACAAATCACTTTCTTAAGGTCTCTTACAATTAATCTTCGCCTCTTATTTCTTATGTCACACTATTTATCATTCAGTTATCCCAAATGTACCCATCATTTCTCATTTGTGTGAGCGGTTTGAGTTTGCATCCGTTTCTGCCATTTTGTTACCCTCTTTGTTCTTCATTGCAAGGAAATATTGTTCTTTTTCCAATTTTGGAGGCCAACAGTAAGAAATCATTAGGTTTAGTCAAATAGATAAAAGAGCGTTGCCTCGGAAGAAATGAAACTGAAAGTTTTGTAATATGTACCTACAGTTCTTTCCAAGTAATTTCACTGAAAATTCTTCTCCCTTACCTCTCTGCATTAGATGGATGGTGACCTCGTGGTCTCAGTGTACCCAGAGCTGTGGTGGGGGCATCCAGTCCCGACGGGTGACTTGTCAAAAACTGACTGCTGCTGGCATTTCTGTACCTGTGTCCGGTGATATTTGTGCTCAACTGGCCAAGCGCCCAGTAGATACTCAGAGCTGCAACAGACAGCTATGTGTGGAGTGGACAACTACGGCCTGGGGACAGGTAAGTAAATTTGGCTCACACTAATCATTGTGATTCTGAGAAGGCAAAGATATCAGTTTAATTAAAGGAAAGGAAAGGAAAGGAAAGGAAAGGAAAAAGGAAAGGAAAAAGGAACGGAGCAGAACAGAACAGAATTACAGAGTTGGAAGGGATCTTAGAGGTCTTCTAGTCAAATCCCCTGCTCAGGAAGGAAATCCTATACTATTTGTTGTCCAATCTCTTCTTAAAAACTTCCAATGTTGGAGCATTCACAATTTCTGTGCAAGAGGTTCCACTGATTAATTGTTCTCACTGTCATGAAATTTCTTCTTGGTTCTAGGTTGCTTCTCTCCTTGATCACTTTCCACTCATTGCTTCTTGTCCTGCCCTCAGCTGCCTTGGAGAATAGCTTGACTCCCTCTTCTTTGGGGCAGCCTTAGAGATATTGGAACACTGCTATCATGTCACTCCTAGTCCTTCTTTACATCAAACTAGACATAGTAGCTCCTGCCATCGTTCCTTATATGTTTTAGCCTCCATCTTTGTTGTTCTTCTCTGCACTCTTTCTAGAGCCTCAACATCTCTTTTACATCGTGGTGACCAAAACTGGATGCAGCATTCCAAATGTGGCCTTACCAGGGCATTATAAAGTGGTATTAACACTTCATGTGATCTTGATTCTATCCCTCTGTTTATGCAACCTAGAACTGTGTTGGGTTTTCAGGCAGCTGGAGCACACTACTGGCTCATATTTAAGTGATTATCTACTAGGACTCCAAGATCTCTCTCACAGTTACTACTATTGAGAGAGGTACCACCTATAATGTACCTGTGCATTTAGTTTTTCTTGTCTTTTCTTTTTCACCATTGAAAAAAATTAAGGTTCCACATTTAGAATAGAATAAGAAAGAAATTTTACGGGTTCCAGAGGTGCCTTTTAAAGAGGCAACTGGACTTTCTAGTTTTTCTTTGAAGACTTTTCACTCCTCATCCAAGAAGTTTAGCTCAGCTTACTTTCAATCCATGAACGAGGATTGACCTCAGGAATAAGTATGAAGGAAGAATGAATAGGTCAAAAGGAAGGACAAGACTAAGGTAGTTATGAGTGGGTGAAGTTGAGCCTACCTTCAAAGCTCAAGAATACAGGTTGGCTCATAGACGAGTTGAAGAATAATCGCAAAGTATGCACTGGCTTCAAGCAGAACTAAATGTGTCATTTTTCAATTAGAAGAATTTCTAGAACAGGCGTGTCACCTTCATTATTAAGGATATTTCCTGGGGATTTTTTTTTTCTCATTTGGGAATTTTAGGTAAGGGTGTTTTTTTAAATGCATGCAGTCTTCCAGGTTCCTCAGGAAGATGACTCTTAGTTTATATCATGCCATGATGTCATATCCAGGCTCATTATCAAAAGCTGTATGAATTCATCAACTTCAGTTGATCTTTTGGCTTTCTAATGTAATATTTCTCCAGCCAGGAAAAGGAGGGGAAATTTTATTAAAGCACTGTGGAAACATATACAACACCATTTTGAGTCAGCTCCACAAATTGATTATTGCAATTACAGTTAAGAACAGATTATGGTCTATATATAAATGGAATTTTGTTATTCTATCACAGAGTTCATCCCAAAGGAAATCAGATTCCTATTGGCCAAGCTCAATTATTAACCTTTTCCAAAATGCAAAGGAAAAAGAAGCATATTCTTTTGACCCTTTGAAAATAAGCCTTTCTATTATTCCTGTCTCCTATAATCTAGTGTTGATATGTCTCTTGTAATGACCGCAGAGAGGGGATTTCATGCAATTATTTATCAAGGAAAAAGAACCTTTGCTCATGTTTATAGTTGAACTTTTGACATCACAGTTTTGAAATCTAATATATTTTTAACTTGCACTCTGAAATGAGGGAGTCAGATCTTTTTTGCAATATGTGCAGACCCTTGTTGGGAAATAACCTTGGTTACATTAACATTAATAAGTCTAACCATGGTTTTCCTTCATGAAAATCAAAGAGGATAACAGCATAATTCCTTTTTTTCCATTCTGTCCATCCAATTTGTTGGCCTTACTTTCTTCTCCGTGTTTCAAAAAAATTGTACTTAGAAGGTAGGATACACCTTAAAGCTTCCAAGGGCATTGTGTGCTTGGGGTTCCAGAGCCATCGCAGGAAAAAAAAGAATTGTGCTAAGTAGACACTCTCAATTGGCATGCAACACAAGACTTTCAGATGGATTGGGCTTGAGATCAATATTAGGAGTTAAGCTTTCTGGTCTTCTGTATTTGGGACTGCTATGCCTTTTGACTCTCCTGAGCTCCGAGTAGCTGTGGCTGGTTGAAAATGCCTCTCTGTAGAACTAGCTCAAAATACTTTGTGCCCATCCGTGGATTTTATGAGCAAAAGGCAACCAAACTGGTGGCGAATCTTACTGGATTATTGAAATGCACTTTATATAGCCTGCTCTTGAAGACCCCTTGGAAGCCTAGCCTTTTTCACAAACAATCATCATGTTTGGGCATGCCAACTTTAAAATGTGGCTTTTCTCTCAGACCTTGGTGGAGGGACCATGGTGCTGGAAGACGATAATTCTCAATTTCCTTCTACTATTTGTTTTATGACATGTTATTAAAATAGAGTAGAGTAGAGTAGAATAGAATAGAATAGAATAGAATAGAATAGAATAGAATAGAATAGAATAGAATAGAATAGAATAGAATAGAATAGAATAGAATAGAAT